AGAGGCCTGCTTCAGCTCAGTAGTATCAGTAGTCAAAACTATGTAGCTTACACTTCCAACAATGAGGAATGTCCCAATAGCAGCAAACGGAGCAGCACATGAGAACACCAGCAAATGCTTTCGAACATTTCTTGAATCTATACCTTCCATTAATAAAAAGGAGACCAAACCAAACGCCGCCGGAGCCTTAAACAAAAATACACTTTTCTTCAGGCCCTCAAGTTTTGAATTGCAACTCAAATTAATCAAAAGCTGAACCTTGTGCAACATGATAGCAATAAAAACAATCAACTGGACATCAGACTTGTTTATTGTTGACGCACTGCCAAGTGCTATACCATCAGCTGAAAGCAAGTAGACATTGAGGAAGACACTGACATGATGTTTTCATAGAGTTCTATTTCTACTAAACCCAAATCCCAAAAGATTGACTGCCCAAGAAGATTGACTTTGTGAGAACAAATAGGATAGATTAAAGCAGAAACCGCTGAAAAGGCTGGAGCTACGATAAGTACCGTACAAGTGAAATAATCACCCAAGTTTCATGCACAAGATCTCCAAAGTTTGCGAAAAAGGGAAGAATATTAAAGTGAGGAATTAATAAAATAAAAATAAAATTAAAATAAACTGAAATGAAATGACACAATGCATCTATAATTGCAATATTTTTTGTCACCTACGAAAAAGAGGTATTGATAATAACAAAAAACCTGATTGCAATTAAGGATGGCAGCAAACAGACCTGCAGCATGTACAACAAGACCGATAGTGGCGGAAATGCCCATTCTGTTGCGGCCAGAACGATCATCTGGTAATGGAGATTGCGTGACATCTTGAACGGCAATCTCCTAGTTTTCCAGAAAAAGTCGAGACCACTGCTAGTTCGAATCACTCTCCTCTAGTCAGAAAAGTCAACAGCATATATCTAAGCTCCCCATGCTTTCTTCTGTAGAGTAAAATTGGTCAAGTGATTACAAAAAATCCTGCTGCCATATAGAACAGACGCCATTCAAGGTAGAATGCCTATCATTTTATTGGAAAAGAAGCCTGTAGATATTTTCCCGATAGATACTAGAATGGCTGGAAAGTTTTTAACATTGCTTTTTAAACTATAAAGCGATAAGTCCGACGTATATAATACGCAAAGTATTATATAAAAAGTCGGACTTATCGCTTTATAGTTCAAAAATCAATTAAGCATACTGTCCCTTGCCGCTTTTTACACGCAGTATAGAAGTGTCTCGGAAAGATTGTAGCATAGTGTATTAATATAAGAGGCGCAGGCCGCCAACATCTGCTGTTTCATACCTCACACCGTATCACATTCTACAAAAAAATTGGTCAAAGCTCAGCGGATATGACTGGAGATATTGCTTAGACCCTGCTCCAGAGGATGACCATCATCTTTCGGATTCCATTCGTTACGCGAACGTGTGGGACTTGAAGATGCGTGCCCAGGTAACATACTTTGGTACGGTTATCCTACGTTTCAAAAGACGAAGTAGAAGCTGCTTGTTTATTAGAAAAGATTGGCCGCTCTAAAGGTAGATACATCTGATCTTTGTCTCTATTTATAAATTGAATTTCTAAACTCGAACAATTCAAATAACTTCTCGATCTAACCTGCAAGCTGAGGAAGAACAGAAGCTACAGCGGAAAGGTTTATCCGCAATAGAGAGCATGCATGGTGAGAAGAAAATTGCTAAGCTCTCAGAAATTACTAGAATTAAATTTCAAGATTTGTAGAAATTCTGACAATGCAGATAGAAAACAATCTACAGAAGCAGATAGCAACGCGAGTGTATGCTACAGATTTCTCTTGAAATTTCAGAGCTCAGAGAAGCCAACAATTCCTTTCGACGAGAGTAACTCGAACCGTGACAATGACTAACTTTGGCGACTAGCATCTAGGGTGTTGCTGTTCAAGACATCCGCCTCAACATGAAAAAAAAA